ATTATTTACATCAGTGCTCTTCAAATATTTTTGCTAACATACAAAAAATTTTTTTAAATTACTTCTTTGCATTTTTTAGGTTACTAATTTTTTCTCATAAGTTATAAAGGACATAATTTCTGGCAGATTATAAACACTGATAGTCTTAAATAAAACTGTTACATGATACTTTTAAATCCCTTCAGTGGAACCTGCATACCACCAGAGTTTAATAACTAACACTATTCACTTTTTTAAAAAATACACAAGTTCTTTTAACAGTGAGAAATTTTGCATTGTTCCTTTTTGCCTTGTATTTGGACATTATCCCACTTCTTGCATAAAATTTTATCTTAAAAAGAGTTTTGTTGATTGCTGCATCTAATTTGGCACATTAATATTATTAGATTTCTGTGACTATTAAATGTTAAATATTTTCTCTGGATTGAGTTAATACTACATTTGATCAAAATACCATAAGTATAAATTTTGTTAAATATTGATTAAATGAAAGTAGTATTGCATTTCTTTTTTCAATTAGTGTATGCATTCATAGGTTAATATTACTTGTTGCTGCTAGAATAATACAGTGTTAAAGTATCTATTCTAATTCTATTTTTTCTTTTTATAGATATAAGTGCTGAGAAACCTTGTTTATATCATTATATAGATGGGCATGAAAGGACTTCTATTATAGGAATGCCACTTGGTTCTTTGGACTCACTCTGAATTATAGGCCAAAAAAAAATCACTTAGTGTTCTGTCATCAAAAAGTAGTTTGAATGTTCTATAATTGTCCTCCTACAATTGTATTAAACAAAATATATATATATAAAAGTAAAAGAATTGGAAGCTATCTGACTTGCAGAAGTATGCAATTTATTACTAGTTGTTAGGGTTTGTTTGCTTTCTTGACACCATCACCAGTATTTCACATTGCCCCTTTTCTGGGGTTCCCTGGTAATACAAAATAGTAAGATTTAACTTAAGAAGATTTATCATTCTTGTGTAAGGTGGAAAATAGGGAACCTGCCTTAACCAGTTATGCAGCAGGTTACTTTTGGAAAGTGAGCATTGAAGATGTAAAGATCTGGAAATTAATTTCCTAAAACTACCTGGATCACATTCTCCTTGAAAAGTTTTTTTATACCCCTAAGGGTATGTGTATCTCTGTTCAGTGATCGCTGACTTACTTAACCAAGCCTTTGTTGATGACTTTGGGATAGCTTACAGATTTCTGTTTTTTCAGTAATACCACTTGGGCACATTTGCTGTATTGCCCCTTTTACTCATTTATATTTTTACTAGCAGTACATAAAAGGACCTGTTTATCTACACCCTAGCCAGCATGACACATTGTTGGTCTTTCTTTTCTTTTTCTTTTTTTTTTTTTTGAGTTGGAGTCTCAATCTGTCACCCAGGCTGGAGGGCAGTGACACACTCACGGCCACCCCAGTGTCAACCTGCTGGGCTCCAGTGATCCTTCCATCTCAGCCTTCCAAGTAGCCAGAACTACAGGTGTGCACTACCACACCTAGCTATTTTTTTTTTCATTTATTGTAGAGATGAGGCTGATCTCGGACCCGTGGGCTCAGGCAATCCACTCGCCTCCGCCTCCCAAAGTGCTGGGATTACAGGCTGAGCTACTGAGCCCAGCCCGGTCTTTATTTTCACTTGTCAGGTTGCAGAGAGTAGTTCTCATTTGCCTTTGCTTGATTATTAATGGTGTGAGCATCTTTTTAATGTGTCTGATGGCCACCTACCTGTATTTCTTTTCTCAGTTTCCTTATTTCTATACTTTACCGGTGTTTCTGTTGAGGGATGGTACTTTTGCTTATTGATTTGTAAGAGTTCTTGATCTACTGAGGGTATTAACCTGTCATACATTTTGCTGGTGTTTATTTTGTGTTTCTCAGCTGTTTATGCTGGTGTTTACAATATAGAACGTTTAGATGTTCATGAAGCTGTCAAGTTTGGCCCATACGGCCTCTAGATTTCATACCTTGCTTATGCCTATAAAAATTATTTACTGTGTTTCCTTTTAAGTGGTCTTATGGTTATTTTTTAACATCTAAGTATTTAATCCATTTCAAATTTATTTTTATGATAAATATGAAGTCAGGATCTAATTTTCCCCCTATAGATAGTCAGTTTTTCTAACACCATTTATTGAATAATTTGTCCTCTCTCCCTTAATTGAAAATGCTGTATTCTACATTCTTAGGTATCCCTGGTCTATTTTTGAAAACCTTGGAGCCTTCTAGCTTGTTTACTTGCCTCCTGTGATTTTTTAATTCAGTCTCTTCACTACGAGGACAGTCATTGTCTTGAAACACAGATTGCATCATACCACTCTTACACAAACACCTTCCAATTATTCTATTGCCTACAAAAAAGAGAACAGGCTTACTAGCCAGGTCTAGCCCTTATCTACCTTTCTAGCCACAATTCCCCATGGACCTTCTGCTTTTTGGAGCATAACATGTATTTTCATGTATTTGTACCTTTGTTCCTACTAGCCTCCTGAGCCCCATTCTTTTTCTTATCAACCACTACTTTCCTTTTAAGACCCACTGTGAAACTTTACCAAAGTTCCTCTTTAACTCTTGTTTCATTTGGTTTCTAATTGTTGTTTACCTTCCTGTTCCTCCAAGTAGATTATCAAGTTCTTGAGGGTAGAGGGTGCCTTATTAGTCTTTTATCTTCCCCTATTGCCTTTTGTAAGTCAGTCTTTAGAAAATGCGTGTTGGATGGAATTGAATTTATTCGTATGTATACACACACACTCACACATATACATCCATATGCTCTAAACAGTTAGTGAACAAAAACCATTGTCAGGGATCCCCAAGACCATCCTCAGGTGTGATGGTTTCTAGGAGGACTCAGAGGACTTAGCATATATGGGAGGATACAGAGCAAAATCAGCCAAAGGAAAAGGCATATGGGGCAAAGTCTGAGGAAACCAGGTGCACGTATCCAAGGGTCCTCTCCTAGAGAGGTCACACAGAACGTATTTAATTCCCTCATCAACGAACTGTGACAACACATGTGAAATGTTGCCAGTGTGAGAAGCTTGCTCTAGAGATTCAGTGCCCAAGGTTTTTACTGGGAGCTGATCACAGAGGCATCCCCTGCCAGGCACATACCCAAATTCCAGACTCACAGAAGGAAAGCAAGTATCCAGCATACACCATATTATTGACACCAGCAATTTAGGCACTCATCAGCTAATGGTGGGACCCTCCTGAAATCTAAGCTCCCAGATGCCTGCTAGGGCCAACTTGTAAGCTGGCCTTTCTAAGGACAGCAGTCAGAACTGCTCTGTTAACTCTTTCCTGCACAACCATATTTTTGAAGAGCTTAGTTTCACAGATGGTGATGCCTAAAGGGAGGAGAAAATCAATATGGTAGGAATGGTCAGGGAATGTGTGCTAAGTACTTCCACTGATACATTCTTCACAGAGGAGGTAGGTTACAAGCTGAGGCCTGGAGAAGAGCAAGACATAGAAAGGGCTGAAGCCAAAGATCCTTTGGCAGTAGGCTGTAAGGTTGGGGAGAAATGGAGGTGTGCAAATCATAGAGAGCCTACGTAGAGAGCAGAATACTTAGGACTTGATGGTGACAGTAGGCCATCTCCCTAGACTGAGAAGGAAAAAGTGGTACTCTAGGATGGTTATTTAGTTAGCAGTGGGTGGACAGGCTTGGGGGAGGACAGATGAGGTACAGGAAGACTTACAGGGGAACATTTTCAGTGACCTAGATGTCATGTTATGAAAAAACTAGATGAGAGTTGCTCATACATCTAATTCAGCTTTCTGCTTGAAATAGGGTTTTAAGCCATTGGAAGGGTGATGGGATCAATTTGAGAGATGTTATGAAGGAAGACATATCAAGGGTGAATGTGATTCAAATAATCACACGTTTTTATAAACAAGATATTTCAGTTGCAATTTATTTTAGAATGATTGTAGTTAGAATTTTCTTTTAAAGTTGTAAATAGGTAACATTTTATTTGAAGATAAACATATATGATTTTTATACTGTATAATGAGTAAAGAAATAAGATATAATGAAGTCTACCTCTATTGGAAGGAATTATGTTGACAGTAGTATATATGCATGTGTTTTGAACATTTCATTAACCAAAATAGAAAGAAGATTAAGAGTTTTCTATCAGCACAGCTTTTGTTTGGAATTAAACATTTCCATACTAATATAAATGCCAAAAATAAATCAACTTTTAAATTTCTTTCAGTTTTAATAATGTAAGATCCTAGTGAAAGGTAAGGATATATGTATTAATAAATTTTTATTTTTTAATGTCCCTGAAAAACATGCCATTCTACCATGTTTGCTCTTTTATTAGTTGCATGGTCTTACGTCCAGTTTGTGGTTGGTAATTTAATATTTCACATAGTATCACGGTATAGAATCCACGTTCGTTACCCTTTAATCATAGTCTTATTGTTCTTGTAAATTCTTTTTCCTGTATTTATTGATGCCTTATATCATTCTATATTGTAGTTAACCATCCAAAAGCAAGAAAGCGTGTCTCTCTCTAATAGCTTTCTCTGCAGTTCTCAGTGACATTAGAGTCCATGTAGTCTTATAATTAGAGATCTCATATGATGGAAAAGATAAAATACTAGTTTGAGATTTGCCTGTATAGCATCACATTCCATACTTGAGAGACTGAGGTTTGAGAGTCTTGATTTTATGCCCCACTGAAACTCACCCAAATAGCAGAATGCTGTTTCATCAATTTACTAGTTCCAGTGTTATCTAGTGTCACGTGTTATTTTTTGTCCTATTGATTTATCATTTGATACCTCCTTTGATGTTTCTGTTGTTACTCTGAGTCTTTGGGGTTCCACATACCTTTGTGGGAATCTCGGGGTACAAGTAGTACTATATAAATTAAAATATTTTGAAAATTGCAGTGTGAACAAGACTCTAGCTCAGGTGTTATAACTGACACTTCTTTTGAAGTCTTTATTTCTCTTGTTTTCTCTCGATAGGAATATACAAATGTTGCCACAGAAATTTAATCTGGAAATCTTACAGATGGCAAGGACACTACAGGAGGCTGTTGGGGAGCATCTCACTTTATCAGGAGTTAGAAGTGGCACTAAGGCACTAATACTGTAACTTTCTTGAAAAAATAACTATTTTTTAGTAGTGGAATGCTGCAACTTTTTACACTTAACAATTGCTTTTAAATTACAGTATTCAGTTTAAAAGTTGTATTAACTACAGTTGGTTTTTTTTTTTGCAAAAAAGTCTCAAAAGAATCACTTGAAGGGCATTATTTGTTTATGCATTTTTTTTCTGAGCATGGTTTCATAGAGAGAACTTAACCAAGTTATTCAGATGTTTATATGTTGAAAGTTTTGCTTATGTAATAAAAACAAAAACAAAAGTATCTCAATTGTATAGTGTCTGTACATGAAAGAACTTTAAACAGTGGCCTTACGGTAGCAAATTTTATACCGGATTTTTCTTTTTCTGATGACATTTTGGCTTATAACTTGAAGTTTTCTTAAGTTTCTGAAGATCAAGGCCTGTATAATTCATACATTTCATATTATAATATAAGAAGGCAAGAGAAAAGGTGCTTCAAATTTTCCATCAGGTAGTTGTGAGTGCACTGAATTTTTAGTAATATGTTCATTCAGTTTTTTCCACAACTATTTGCTCTTTTCCAGTTTCAAAATGCTATTGTGGAAAATATGTAAAGATTTTGTAATCTATAGTCCATCTTATTTTTCCCTCAGGGCAAGCTTGTGCATATCATATTTTTAAAGGCTTTTTAAAAAATCTGACAGATAAAATCTCATATTTGAAAATTGTACTTTACTACTACAGCATTACACATTTTGCAAGCACATCTTACAGAATGTTTACTTTTAGTTCAGTTGATACGTATTGCATACCTACTATGTGTAAGATAAAAACTGATGGGATTTTAAATGAAAATTTTAGGTCCTAATACCTTGTTTCTTTGTTTTCTGTGTTCTGCTTAACAGTACATATACATTCCCAGTTACATTTTTGTGAAATGTTTATTTGTAATAAAATATTGTTGCTCTTTCTGCTTAAAGAAGTTACTTGCCAGTTTGTGAGAACATTATTTTAAGTTTGTATGTACCTGTTGATGTTTAAAGCACTGTTCTGCACTTACGAAGACTAGAACTTTGTAAGTCAAAATGTGAAGGTTGATAAGAACTTGGTTTTTCATGAGTGGGTTATGAAAACTCTTACTAGAAACATTCAGCTTTCATTTACATGTCTTTAAAGATAGGGCAGCTTTTTCCTTGAGTGGGTCAGTGACTGAGGGGGCAAGCACACTTGATTCATTGCTAATCAGGTGATAAATGTTGGTGGATGGCCTGTCTTGTGCTGTGCACCATCTCTACAGGTCAGGCTTTCCAAGCCTACCCAGCATTCCACTTGTGGTAAGAAAGAAATGCATGCACACAGTAGTATGGCAACTTTATATTGGGCTACGTACTTGGAAAGTTTGTCTTAAATTTTAAAATAATTGATTTCATGTGTTCCCATTTCTAGGAGAGTTATGAAACTTGAATATTTAGTCATTTGCTTGGCAGCTATGTGTTGCACAGATATGTACTATAATTACAGCAGTGAGTAAGAGAACACAACACATGAATCCTGCCTTTATGGTATGAACAGTTTCATAGGGAAGATGGACATTAAACATAGAAATGTAACTTGGCAGATGACATGTATTCTATTGCTCTATTTTTATTCCTGGTAATACATAAGGGTAAGATGGCTGATTTAAAATTACTCATTCCACAACAGATTCCCTATTTAGGCATGTTTGGATATATTTTTGGAACTGTTTCAAAATGCAAAGCATGTTATCTGCAAAATACCTATGCAGAAAATATTGCATATATAAGATCTAAAACCTAAAAAGGAAGGCTTGTTTTATAATTTAAAGTATAAAATAAGGGCAAGGACCATGTCTGTTTTGTTCACCATAGTATCCCCAGCACCTAGCATCCTACTTGACATGTGGTAGGAACTCATTAAATATTAGTTGAATGATGAATAAATGAGTAGAGAATAGAATATGTTTGCAGGGACTACATATCTAATTTTCATATGGAGGTTGAACAAAAGGCTATCCATAGCATTTTTTATTGACTGAAAAGAATTTGAATTCAAAGAAGAAAAGAAGTTTTTATAAGTCCCATACCATTACTCTTCCTCTTCCTCTCCTGCATGCTAGGCCCTTCACTGGTACTGAGAAGACAAAGATAATAAAACACACTCCCTGCTCTGAGGAACCTCATAAACTGCTGCGGAAGAGACTCACAAAAACAAAGGATTGCTCTACAGAGTACATACTATGGTGGACACATACACAAAAGGATGAGAGAAAAATTGGCCTTCCTGGTTAAGCACCCCCCCCCCATCACATTCCTCTCCTATTGGTTTCACAAAGCTCAGAAGGCACTGCTCTTGTTGGTGATTTTGCTGGTTTTAAACATTTATACACTGGGGGAAACTGGGTAAAGTGTCCACAGGATTGCTCTGTATTATTTCATATAGCTGCATGTGACTCTATAATTAACTCCATGTAAGTTTCAGTTTAAAGACTCACTTATAGTCTTATCCCAGAAGACAAATATTTCAGAGGACACATTTTCATTTTTGTCTATAGGAAAAACTATTTACATTATCACAATTTATATAGGTGCATACTATGTACCATATTTTACCTGATTAATCCTACATTTCTGACAAGTGAAAAAAAAATGGGGATAGTTCCAGGTGGAAACGGGAAAAGTAAGCTGGTTCAGAAACTCTACTACCTAGCAAACTCGGTAAGCACTAGGCACAAATTCACCAGGTGCAACCAAACAAGGAAGGGAGGCAATGCTAATGCAACAAGGTATGGTATGATATTCGTCGTCCCCCCCCCTCAAGCCCACAATAGCACTGAGTAAAGAAACAGTTGACAAAAATCTTGGTAACAACGGGCCCCATTATGGACAAAGGGACTGACAAGGTGACTAGGCCATGTGGAGGAGAGTCAAACTAAGTCTTTGCTGACATCTCAGGACCTAAGCAGAAGGGGAAAGATTCACCAGGACAAGGCATTACCCAACTCCCAGAGCAGCCTGGGGAAGCCAGAGCCTACAGGAGTAACGGACACCTTGGACGGTTCTAGACATTTAATGGGAACTCAAAAGAGAGGAGATATGAGAATCCACAAAAAATTCCAGCAAATAGAATGATCATGAGCTCTGAGTCCATTTAAATACAGAACAAACATTTAAAAACAGAGGAATCATAGTGGTAGGAGAGAATGTAAGTGTTATAAATCTTGACAAAGAAAAGGTAGTGTACACTGACAAATTAAGCCATGAGGAAGGGAAAGTGGAATGAAGACTCAGAACTGCCTCATCTTTCACACCAGGTGTCATGGCAAGTCATAATGTCTTAAGATTATAATATGGAGGAAAAAACCTTCATGACCAACCTTAAGTTTTTCAATCTTTTGTCTTTTTTTCTTTTTTTTTTCTTTTGAGTTGGAGTCTCACTCTGTCGCCCAGGCTGGAGTGCAGTGGCACACTCACAGCCCCTGCAGTCACGACCTGCTGTGCTCAGGCGATCCTTCTGCCTCAGCTTCCTTAGTAACTGGAACAACTAGCGTGCGCCATCATGCCCGGCTAATTTTTTTGGATTTATTGTAGAGATGAAGTCTCGCCAAGTTGCCCAGGCTGGTCTCAAACCTGTGGGCTCAGGCAATCCGCTCACCTCTGCCTCCCGAAGTACTGGGATTACAGGCATGAGCCACCTTGCCCAGCATATTTTTTTTTCTTTACATAAGTACAATGGTTCTCAAAGTGTTCCCAGACCAGCAACATTAGCATCACCTGGGAACTTGTTAGAAATGCAGATTCTTGGTCCCACCCTAGACCTCCTAAATCGGAAAGTCTGGGGGTGTGGCCAAGCAATCTGTGATTGATCAAGCCCTCCAGCGGGTTCTGACGCAGTGCTTTGGTAACCACTGGCTTACTTGGTTCTTTTAGGAACCCATACCCCTTACGGGGAAGAAACATTTATCTGAAGTTCAGCGGTTCCTTCAGTTTTATTTCTATTTTTCTATTGCAGTCACATAAAATTAAATCTAAAACCCTTTAGAATAAAAAGTGTAGTGATTCCCATCATCCACCTATTTGTTCATAGGAGTGAATTGAGAAGTTTGGAAACATACCCACTCACTGTTACTACTGTTGATTTCTTAAGTGGTGGTAGTATGAGTGGCTGTGCTTTTCCGTGTCAAATATAATGAATGTTGTATCATTTTTATAAAATAAAGTATTTCATTCTATCCATTGTAAATATGTTATTAAAGTCCATGTAAACAAGCTTTACCTCTAGAGGCAGCATACTTCACCGTGGTCCAGTGGAGTTTTATTCTCTGTCAGTCCTCTCACATCGTAAAAAGTGGATAGGCTTATTTTAAGTATGTGTTGTGTTGACTTTTTTTTTTTTTTAGTTAGGGTCTCACTCTGTTTCCCAGGCTGGAGTGCAGTGGCACAATCACAGTTCACCACAGCCTCAACCTCCTCAGTTGATCCTCCCAAGCTCAGGTGATCCAGCCTCTCAAGTAGCTGGGACTACAGGTGTGTGTTACCACTCCTGGCTAATTTTTTAAATTTTTTGTAGAGATGAGGTCTCATTATGTTGTCCAGTCTGGTCTTGAACTTCTGGGCTCAAGTGATCCTCCCACCTTGGCCTCCCAAAGTGCTGGGATTACATGAGTGAGCCATGCCTAGCTGTGCTGACCTTTTAATAAAAATTATTGATTCATAATATTTAACACAATTATAGCACATTTAAATGCATCTCCTTTTGTTATTTTTAAAAAGAAAAACAGTTTTTTCCTGCTAATAAAAAGCTGTTAAAGAAAAGATAGGCCCAAGGTGGAGTCACTCACACTAAGGTTCCACATCACCAAATTGAAGCCTCAGTTGTTTTACTCATAAGATCTGACCTGACAAATCAGGAGTGAGACAATAGCCAGATCTCATTAAGTCAACTAGATTTTACTTACACTTATAAGGAAAGTAACCTTGAAATGGTCAATCTGCTATTTGTTCCTCTTTTGTGCTTTCCTCTGCTTTTTTCTGCCAATAAACCTCACCCACTCTGTTTAGCTCTTCAGAACTTTTCTATTTTGTAGATTGGATGTGCCCAGTTCATGAATTGCAATAAAAGCCAATCAGATCTTTGAAACTCAGTTTGTTGAAATTGTGTTCTTCCACAGTGTACATAGAATAGTATGTACAAGGGAGAAAACCATCCATAATCCCACTGTTCATAAACATTTAGTGTAAACTAACATTTTGATATTTTTCTTTAGTCTTTTTTCTGAGCTTTATTTTTTTGGTACTTGAGATTATACTTTATATATGTACATTTAGTCTTTACAGATAGTGACGTACATATTTAAATCGTATTTGAGGTTTGTATGGCATTCAAACCATACCTATTGTGCCAAGGGAGCTAAAATTGTTTTTTGTTTTTTGTGGGTGGTTTGAGTTGGAATCTCACTCTGTCGCCCAGGCTGGAGTGCAGTGGCACGCTCATGGCCACCCCAGCGTCGACTTGCTGTACTCCAGCGATCCTTCCGCCTCAGCCTTCCAAGTAGCCAGAACTACAGGCCCTCACTACCATGCCCGGCTAATTTTTGATTTATTGTAGAGACAAGGTCTCGCCAAGTTGCCCGGGCTGTTCTCGAACCCCTGGGCTCAGGCAATCCACTCGCCTCGGCCTCCCAAAGTGTTAGGATTACAGGCTGAGCCACTGAGCCCAACCGGAATGTCTTATGAAATCCTGAAATTTATTAAAATGTGGGAGCTTTGTTTTCTCTGTACACATTATTTAAGCTATTAAAAACTAGATGACGGCCTGATGCAGTAGCTCAGCCTATAATCCCAGCACTTTGGGAGGCCAAGGCAAGAGAATTGCCTGAGCCCAGGGGTTCAAGACCAGCCTGGGCAACTTGGTGAGACCTCATCTCTACAATAAATCACAAAAATTAGCCAGGCACAGTGG